CTTGAAATTACGTTCTTTTCCCGGTGCCGGCGATGATCAGTGTGGATGAATCAGTCACTCTCGAAGATGACGACGAGGCACAGGGTTTCATCTTCTCAAGGCGATAATCATTCTTCCGTCTCCGCCGTATCTTCCGCCGTCGATAAGCCTCCGAGCTCCGGTCCGGTACGACGAGCCATTGTTTTCCTTATCGTCATCTCCATCTCTTGCTTCGTCCTCTACAAATCCGCTGATTGTCTCAACATCGTCTCTGGCTCTTCTCCTTCCTCCTCGATTCTCTCTCGCATTTTCCCCTCTTTCGATTCCTTTCAGTCTCTGGTTAGTTCGATTTCTCTCGATTTTGTTTGTTTAGATTCAGAGAATTTGATCTTCGACGATTCGTGATTTAGGGTTAATGATTCGATTGATTCTTCCATGAACATTGGGCTTATTTTAGTTGGAATCGTGTTCTTGAGATTTCGCATTTTGTTGATTCAGGAAATTGAGGAACCTAAGCTTGAAGATGTTCTTCGTAGAGCTGCAATGAGTGATGGTACAGTGATTTTAACAACTTTGAATAAAGCTTGGGCGGATCCAGGATCTGTTATAGATCTCTTCTTCGAGAGTTTTGGTATTGGTGAAGGAACAAGCAAGCTTTTGAATCATTTGGTGATTGTTGCTTTGGATGATAAAGCTTATTCTCGTTGCCGTGAATTGCATAAGCATTGCTTCAATATCGAAACACAAGGAGTTGATTTCTCCGGCGAAGCTTCTTTCATGACTCGTTCTTACTTGAAAATGATGTGGAGAAGAATCGATTTCTTGCGGTCTGTTCTTGAATTGGGTTACAGTTTTGTTTTCACTGTAAGTTTTTCTTTTAGCATTCTTGACTGATTATGAGAGAATTTTTCGGGTTCGATCGAGTTATTCGGTTTTTCTTGTTCACAGGATGCTGATGTGATGTGGTTTAGGAATCCGTTTCCGCGGTTTTATAGGTATGGTGATTTTCAGATCGCTTGTGACCATTACCTAGGTAGGTCGACCGATCTAGAGAATAGACCGAATGGAGGATTTAGCTTTGTGAGATCAAATAACCGGACTATACTCTTCTACAAATACTGGTACGCTTCACGGATGAAGTACCCGGGATTTCACGACCAGGACGTACTTAATTTCATAAAGAAGGATCATTTCATTTTCCATATCGGGCTTAGGATTAGGTTCTTGAACACGGCGTATTTCGGTGGACTCTGTGAACCGAGCAAAGATTTGAATCTTGTTTGTACAATGCACGCGAATTGCTGCTTCGGTATGGATAGTAAGCTTCATGATCTTAGAATCATGCTTCAAGATTGGAGAGATTTCATGTCTTTACCACTTCATCTTAAAAAATCCTCTGGTTTCACCTGGAAAGTCCCACAGAATTGCAGGTTTTAATTTAGATCCATATTCTTTCGATCTTTGAGAGCGGTTTGCGGTTGTTAAGAGGATCGATGAAACGTTTGTTTTTCGTTCTTTCTTTTGCAGTCTTGATTCACTTCGGCGATATGATTCTATGGATGAAGAAGAGAGTGAACCACCAAAAGGAACACAAGAGTGAAATGTATATGTGTGACACTAACAATGTATATAGGGAAACTGAGATTTTTTTCTCACAC